GGTAGTAATAGTAGTAGTAGTAGTAGTAGTAGTAGTAGTAGTAGTAGTAGTAGTAGTAGTAGTAGTAGTAGTAGTAGTAGTAGTAGTAGTAGTAGTAGTAGTAGTAGTAGTAGTAGTAGTAGTGGTGGTGGTGGGAGGAGGTGGAGGAAGCGGAGGAGGAGGAGGAGGGGGAGGAGTGCTTCAATGGACCAACTCCGCCCCTGGGACTTCGCCGACCCCTGGAACGATGGTGGAACTGGACGCCGCCGCGGAGTGCGCGGAGGGTGCCGAGGAGGACTGGGACCTGGGGCAGCCAGAGTGCGACGAGGGCGCCGACGAGCTCGTGGATGGCGACGAGCAAAACCCACACACCCTCGCGTTGCGAAGAAGTCACGACGTGGGAGGTTTTTCGCTATTTTCGGCCTCTGGGGACCCGTACCGGGCCTCGGGACCGTCAAACAATGTCTCGGGATGAAGACCGGTCTTAGGGAAGGGGTCCAGACCTTTGGGGTCGACGTTGTGAAACAATCACGACGTCGGGGGTTTGGGAATTTTGCTTTCGTGAAAAAAAAAACTGTGGGCGCTCCGCAAGAATTTCCCGGATCGGTGCTGGGCCCCCCTGGCAGGACCTTTGGCGCCGCCTCCGCGCGCCAGGGAGGGGTGTCCAGCGCGGATCCCAGGGATTCTTGCGGTCTTCCAGACGTTTCTGTTTATTCAGTTGTCTTGTTGCTTCAGGAGGGCGACGAGGGCGTCGACGAGTTCGAGGAGGAGCCAGAGGTCGACGAGCCAGCCTTCCAGGCCAGCTGCGTGGAAGCGCAGGTTTTCCTGACCCACGCGGACGCCACATGGGACGCAATCGTCTCAGAGGACGGCTCCGTCGTGTCCGCTCTCTCCGCGGGGCTCTTCCGCAGCCTCGTGTCCGGAGTGCGCGCCAGCGCTGGCGCGCGTGGCGGCCGCCACTACTTCGAGGTCTCGGTGCTGGAGCAGCTGCCCGGCGGCGGGGCGACGCTGAGCCTGGGCTTCTCCCTGCCGGGCACTCCTCTCCCGCTGCTGCCGCCTGGCTCCGACGGCGGCGTGTGCCGCTCTCCTGCGCGGCAGACGGCCGCGGGGACGGTGCTCGGGGCGCTGCTGAACCTCAGCGAGGACACCGCGTGCGCGAACACGATCTCCTTCTTCCTAGGGGAACGAACAGTGACAGAAACATAACAACTCGGAGGTCCGCGCGGACTTCCCTTATCCTCGCTGGACCCTCTTCCAGAAATACCGATCCGAGAAATCCGCGCGGACCTCCGAGTTGTTATGTCCATGTCATCGTTCGTTCCCCTATCTTCGTCGACGGGTCGCGCGCCGGGAGGCCCATCTCGGGGCGGACGAAAGGGGGGGCTTAGGGGAAAGGGGGGTGCGATATCTGCTGCACGCAGCCGTCTTCGGCCCCACCGAGGGGCCCAGCCCTCGATGCATGGCTACCTCCGGCGCCGGGAGGCGCTGGGAAAATCAGCCACGAGAGCTGATCCTCACCCCCCCCCTTGCTGTCCCCCTTTTCGCCCGGCCCGACCATCCCTCTGCCGGCGGACCTGCGTGGCAAGGCGCTCTACCCGACCGTCTGCTTCCGGGGGCTCGTGCTGGCGGTCAACTGGGGCCCGGGGGGCCGGCTGCTGCGGCCGCCGCCGTTCCGGTGCCGCACGTTCGGGCAGGCCTCCGGCGACCTGCTGGAGCTCCGCGGCGGCGCCGCCGACGGGGGCCGCGCGGCCGCCAAGGAAGCGAGCAGGGGATCAGCTGCAGAATGGAAGTGCCCCGAAATCGATCTTTCGTCGCATCTGGAACAGGGCAGAAGGAGAGCGTTCGTGGACTGCCACGTATTCCTTGGACGATCCGACGAACAAATAATCTTGGGGTACAGTGAGCGGCTCGAAGCAGGAACGCTTACTTTTCAAAAAGGGCTCGGTCGTTCCTCAGGTCTGCATGCGTCACTCATCGTTCCTTATGCGTCATTTGTTATCTATCGTTCCTTGGACCAAAAGGACTTCGTTCCTTATTCATCGTTCCTTAGGTCAGGCCGATGACGGTATTCCTTCGGTGATTCGACAAACAACAATAATTCTGGCTGCCGTGGTACATACTCCTCTTCCTCCTCCTCCCCCTCCTCCTCCTCCTCCTCCTCCCCTCCTCCTCCTCCTCCTCCTCCTCCTCCTCCTCCTCCTCTCCTCCTCCCCCCTCCTCCTCCTCCTCCCCCTCCTCCTCCTCCTCCTCCTCCTCCTCCTCCTCCTCCTCCTCCTCCTCCTCCTCCTCCTCCTCCTCCTCCTCCTCCTCCTCCCCCCCCTCCTCCTCCCTCCTCCTCCTCCTCCTCCTCCTCCTCCTACTCCTCCTCCTTATGCTTCGGCGAAGTGCTGTACTTGATCTCCTGCTCAAAGGGAGAAGGCTGCGAGGTGCTGGTGCCCGTGGGCCTGCCTGGCGGCGACTTCTTCGCCTTCGCCGACTTCTTGGCCGACAGGCTTGCAAGTCGGGCATGTCCCTTTACAGTTATGATGTTCCAACCTATTGTAGCCTTGACCACCAGAAAGACTGTCGAGCACCAAGAAACTACCGAAGCTTGAGGGTTGTCACGTGTCGGGCCCTGGGAGGCGGTACTCGTTCGACACTGTTTCGATACTGGAATTATTTGTGGGATGTGGTCCTTAAGTACGATGGGCAACATGATTCTACAGGAGGAATATTCAAAAATTATGAAAAGATCGCCTGGGGGCGATTTTTTGAGCATTTTTTTGATTATATTTCTATCAAAAAAATCGTCCAACATCCGTCTATAGAGGGACATGCCCGACCTAACGACAGGCACCCCCACCTCGTGGAGGTGAGTGGGCGCCGGGTCCGCCAGTGGTGCCTGCGCAGCGGCCTGGACCCCGCGCGCGGCGCCAGCCGCGACCGGCCAGGCGTGCCCTCCGAGGCCTGGCGGGAGCCTCTGCTCACGCGGGCGCAGCTTACCGGGCGCGGCGTGCTGCTGGTGGAGCTGAGGCCAGCAGCCCAGGGCACATTCCGACCTCGCCGGGCCGATCCGAGTAAACTCGCCAGGCACATTCCGACCTCGCCGGGCCGATTCGATCGGGCTCGACGCGCGATTCCGGTGTCGGCTTCGCCCGATCCGGCGCGGCGGCGATTCCGATGCTTGCCGATTGTTCTGGGGTTGCTAAAGCCCCTGGGCCACGGTGTCCCCAGGTAATCGCTCAATTATTGGGCCCCTGGGGCCCCCTGGGCCTCGTGAGGGGTGCTCTGGAGGCCGTGGGGGCCTCCTCGGAAATCCTGGGAGCACCTTGGGCCCAGGGCACTTCTGGCCACACCCGATTTTTGTCAATCTCCTGCCGATCCGGCTCCGCTCGACCCGACCCTGCCTGCTAAACTCAGGAGAGGAAAAACACAGAGACACAATTAATCATCGATTCCCCCGAAAATATGGGAAACTATGGGAAGTGTGTGGGGGGGAAGACAAACACCCAGAAAATATAGGAAACTATGGGGAATCCTGTTATTTGTGTGTATTTATTTGTGTGTCCCAGGGCCTCTTTATAAACGTGGCTCGGCTCGGCCTGCTGAACGTGGCGAGCCGAGGGCACGAGCCGCACGGGTGCGCCGAGTCCTTGCGCACAGAACCCACTGCAGCAGCGGCAGCCTGTCCTGGTGGGGATGCTCTCGTGGCGATCGTCTTCTGGTGCCTTGCTGGGCACAAGTCTGCGCTTCGTCCTTTTGCTTGTTCGTTTGTTTGTTTGTTTGTGCCTTTGTTTGTTTGTGCCTTTGTTTGTTTGTCTGTCTGTCTGTCTGTTTGTGTGTGTGTGTGTGTGTCTGCTATGTCCCGACTCCGCTGCGCGGCCGTGCGCGTGGCTGCGGCGCAACAAGAGTGTGTGTGTGTGTGTGTTTGTTTTTCCGCGCCGCGTGAGCCAGGCGGACCCGCGCGCTTCCGCTTGAGTCGACCTGCGCCTGCCGCCCGCGACGTCGAAGGATGCTGGGGGGGGGGGCAGCACAGCGGGGTCCCCACGCAGACCCAAACGGGACATCGCCATCCCTGGGGGGCTGCAAAATGTGAAACTGTTGCCATTTTCGTGGGTTGCTAGGAGGGCCAGCGCAGTGGGGTCCCCACGCAGACCCAAACTGGACCTCGCCATTCCTGGGGGGCTGCGAACGGTGTGTGTGTGTGTGTGTGTGTGTGTGTGTGTGTGTGTGAGAGTTGGTGTGTGTTGGTGTGTGTGTTGGTGTGTGTGTTGGTGTGTGTTGGTGTGTGTTGGTGTGTGTGTGTGTGTGTGTTGGTGTGTGTGTGTGTGTGTGTGTTTGTTGGTGTGTGTGTGTGTGTGTGTTGGTGTGTGTTGGTGTGTGTGTGTGTGTGTGTGTGTGCGGGTGCGCCAGTTGCGGCACATTGCTGCCTCCCCCCAGCTTCAGCTTAGCGCAGCCAGCGCAGCTCAGTGCCAGCGCTGTTCCCCCCCCCCGGCGCTGTGCCTAGCTGCCGCCGGCAGCTCCGAGTGGCCTGGTTTCCTCTCTTCCCGTCGCGCCGGGGCTCCTCCTCCTCTTCCCGTGCGTTGCGGCCCTAATTTGCATACAGCGTGTCCCCTGTTGCCACTCCGCCGGAGCAGTCGCCCTTTGCCCAGCCGCCGACGCAAAAAAGCGGTGTGTGTGTGTGTGTGTGTGTGTGTGTGCGTGCGCTTCTCCATGCTGCGTGAGCTGGCCCAGCCCGCGCGCGTTCGCTTGACGTGTCCTACGCCGCGCCGCCGTGCGCGTGGCCGCGACGCCCCAACAAAGCAAGGGTGTGTATGTGTTTATGTGGGAGGGCGAGGGGCGAGCGGGGCAGATGGCCTTGGTCGTCGGCAAGGACACGTCGTAGTGTCGGCAGTGAAGCTTGCAAGACCTTCAGCGGAAGTCAGCACGGCGAGAGCGTGTCCAGTCCGCCGCATCTGGGCGTGTGCACTGGGCCAGGCTCTGCAGGATCGCGACTTCGCAGCAGGACTACAGTTCGACGGTGGTGGATGAACTTCGTGAAGAATTGGGAGGCATTTTTTTTTACCGCTGGAACGTATATCATCTTCCAACACTTCCGTCGATTACAATAGTCGTAATCTTGCGAACAAGAACAGGCGCTCGACAATGACCAGCCAGAGCCACACAAGTGATGATCGTGACGGCACCTGTTCCAACAGCAGTGGCCATGGTAGTAGCAGAAACATGTGAAAACACGTGAGCGAGTGTGGCAGCAATGACTTTTGCTTACAGCGACTCCAGCTGCACCGATCGCTTAGGTGACGGCGCCCCTTGTCGTATGTTGTCGGCGCGTTAATCTGCCTCGAGGCAGGCTCTACTGCGAGAGGGTCGCGCAGAGCTCCTAGGCCTGCTGCCAGCTGCGGCTAAGAAGGTTTGACACGCGGGGATCGGGGCATGTGTGGGGATGAGAAGCCGGCGGAGGAAACGGGGGATGAGAGTGAGGAGAAGAATGAGTGAGGCAACTGTTAGGCGATACAATCTCCTTTGCACGCCAATGCTGACTTCGAATTCGACGAGCGATGCGAGCGAGATGAGGTGCCGCGAGGTCAAGGCGCGCACCCGAGGATGATTTGGATCATACTCCCTCCTGGACCTCACAGTCACCGAAATGATGGGGCACGCCAACATGGAGATCTGCTCCGAGCACGTCAGAAGTTTTTGTACAGTGGAAACCCATGCCACGAAACACCCTGCTTGCCTCCAGGGTGCCCTGGGTTTCTTGGGGTTTCATGGTTTTGCCGTGGAAAGCATGCTGTGTCCACACCAGAGGAGGACGATGAGGAGGAGGAGGATGATGATGATGAGGAGGAGGAGGAGGAAGACGAGGAGGAAGAGGAGGAGGAGGAGGAGGAGGAGGAGGAGAGGATGAGGAGGAGGAGGCGGAGGAGGAGGGAGGAGGGGGGGAGGAGGAGGACGAGGAGGAAGAGGAGGAGGAGGAGGAGGAGGAGGCGGAGGAGGAGGAGGAGGATGAGGAGGAGGAGGAGGAGGGGAGAGGGGTTCGACTGCGCGGACGTTTGAGGGCAGGCTGCCCGCGGAAGTTCGCGCGTGAGCGCCATCGCTTGCTCTGCGGCGTGCCGCGCGGGCGGCCCGTGGAAGCCACTGCGCAGGGTCGCCATGCCATCCTACGTAAGACCTGCTGATATTCATCGCCCTAATGTCTGTTCCAGACATCGTCCTGGCCTTCCATTCGCTGACCGATGGAGCTCACAGTGGGAGCCCGCCACCCCCGAACAGCAGCCCCTTCTCACCCCGCCAAAGCGCCACGGCGGAGGCACAAACTGGACTCTCTGGGCGCCAGGCAAACATAGAGCTTGCTGCGGAGAAGCGTGAGTTGGTACTGGAGAAGGAGGGGAACATGGCGATGACTACTAGGGAAACGAACAATGCCATAAACATTACGCTACCGAGGAACCCCACATACTTATTTTATGTCACGTGTGTTCACAAACCATATCACATCCCGCTTCGCCATCCTGACGAGCCAGACTGACCAGACCAGCCAGATCAGCCAGACCAGCCGGACTGACCAGACCAGTCGGATCAGTTGTTCCAGCCATAACCAGCCAAAGTAATCAGACCAGCCAGCCAGGCCAATCAAGCAGAGCAGCCACACGAGCCAGCCAGGCCAACCAACCACACCAACCAGACCAACCAGACCAAACCAACCAGACCAGACCAGACCAGACCAACCAGACCACGCCAGATTTCAGATCCATTCGGACCAGACGTAAGCCTGCCAGACTGATCTCAAAGCCGTTCTTCTCCATAAATTTCTTCAGCTGCAAGCACGGAGGCGGCAGCTCGGCGATGGCAAACTTGGGAGGCATCCCGTCGAAAAGGAGTCTCCGCAGCACCCGCGCAGAGACCCCGGCGGCGCGGCGCAGAAGCCAAAACGTATTGCGCGATCAATTCGAGCCAAAGTGTGTACGGACCTGCTGTAAAGAAAATGCCACGCCGGCCATGCCCGGCGCAATGGCCGGCATAGTGGCCATGGCTCGCATAGACGCCGCGTTCAGGGACCACCCCCTGCGCGTCCCCTCTCGAGACGAGAAAGTGCAACGCCTGCTGTGCCCTGCGCCATGGCCCCCGAACAGACGCCACGCTCAGGGACCCCCCCCAGCGCACCCCATCTGGAGTCGAGAAACTGCCGCGCCTGCCATGCTGTGCGCAATGGCCCGCATAGAGGCCGCGCTCAGGGACCACCCCCTGCGCACCCCCTCTGGTGTCGAGAAACTGCCGCGCGGGCCATGCCCTGCGCAATGGCCCGCATAGAGACCGCGCTCAGGGACCACCCCCTGCGCACCCCCTCTGGTGTCGAGAAATTGCCACGCCTGCCGTGCCCTGCGCCATGGCCCGCATAGACGCCGCGCTCAGGGACCACCCCCTGCGCACCCCCTCTGGTGCTGAAAAACTGCCACGCCTGCCGTGCCCTGCGCCATGGCCCGCGTAGACGCCGCGCTCAGGGACCACCCCCTGCGCACCCCCTCTGGTGTCGAGAAAGTGCCACGCCTGCCGTGCCCTGCGCCATGGTCCGCATAGACGCCACGCTCAGAAACCACTCCCTGAAAGCCCCTCTGGGGTCGACAAAACTGCCACGCCTGCCGTGCCTTGCGCGATGGCCCGCATAGACGCCACGTTCAGGGACCCCCCTCTGCGCGCTCTGCCTGGGGTCGAGAAAATGCCACGTCTGCCGTGCCCTGCGCCATGGCCCGCATAGACGCCGCGCTCAGGGACCACCCCCTGCGCACCCCTCTGGTGTCGAGAAACTGCCACGCCTGCCGTGCCCTGCGCCATGGCCCGCATAGATGCCGCGCTCAGGGACCACCCCCTGCGCACCCCTTCTGGTGTCGAGAAACTGCCACGCCTGCCGTGCCCTGCGCAATGGCCCGCATAGAGACCGCGCTCAGGGACCACCCCCTGCGCACCCCCTCTGGTGTCGAGAAAGTGCCACGCCTGCCGTGCCCTGCGCCATGGCCCGCATAGACGTGCTGTGCTGTGCTGTGCTGTGCTGTGCTGCTGTGCGGTGAGCTGTGCTATGCTGTGCTGTGCTGCGGTGAGCTGTGCTGTGCTGTGCTGTGCTGTGCTGAGCTGAGCTGAGCTGAGCTGGGCTGTGCTAAGCTGTGCCGTGCTGAGCTGAGCTGAGCTGTGCTGAGCAGTGCTGTGAGGAGGAGGGGAAGAGTGAGGTGTGAGTGGGAGCGTCGCGGGTGCGGCGCGGCAGGGAAGAACACCAGAACCACACGAAACATGTGGGGAATAACAACTCGGAGGTCCGCGCGGATTTCTCGGATCGTCGCTGGGGCCCCGTGTTGGCACCTCTGGCGCCGCCCCTGGCGCGTTCCGCCTCCGAGTTGTTATGTTTATGTCATGTTCGTTCCCCTAATTACGGCGAGGAGGCTCTTCGTATGCCTTGTTCGGTCAGGCCTTGGATGATTCTGGGTGGAGCAGGTTTGGTCGAACTGTTTTTTCACCCAGTCTTCAAGCTCGCAGGTTCAGCGCTGGCAGGCTACTGTCGGTCTTCTACGGCCAGCTTGCTGGAATGCCACCTTGTGTTGAGATGGGGCAGAGGAAGCGGTCGCGTCCTTGCCTCTGCGGCCCGTCCTTTGCAGTTTTCACTGGTCGCCCCCCGCCCCAACAAATCCCAACTTCGGCCTCCAATGCTCTTGCGTCCTTACCACCCGTCCTGAATACACGTTTTTATTGTACTTGTTTAGTGAAGTAGCCGATGGGTACGGGGTGCCAATTCAGAGGCGGCCCCCTTGAGTTTCTCGGTTCCCTGATCTTGGTGTCTTTTGGGCGATGTTCGGGTTCTTCGGTCTTGTTCCTTGGGTTCATGGGTCCTTTCTCGATTCTCCGCTCGTGTCCCTTGCCTTCGTTTCTTGGGCTCCTTGGTTTTGTTTCTTTGTTATGGGCCCACAAACTCGGGGACAGTACTCGCACTGTCGCTGCGTTTGTGGGCTTGCACGAATGCCGCTCCTGCGTCTGCCCTGCTCCCCTGCCTTCTCCTCGTCCTCGGGACGGGGGGAGGGTCGGGGTGCAGGGCCGTGGGTGGTGGAGGGATGCTGGTGCTGTTCTGCCTGTGCGGCTGCCGCTTCTGCGCTCCTGCATTCTCTTGTCCGCGGTCCGCCCATGTGCGGCCGCTTGCCTGTTGGCCGATGTTGTGAAGCTGGCGGGCACTTGTCCTGTCTGCCCGTGGGGGCCTCTTAGGGGCCTCTTGGGGGCCTCCAAGAGGCTTCCTAGGGGGCCTCTTAAAGCCTCTTGGGGGCCTCTTGAGGGCGTCTTGGGGGCAGAGGGGGAATCCTGGGATTTTGGTGTATTTATGTATCCGCGTGTCCCTTGGGCCCCCTGCGACGCTGCGTGCTCCTGGCGCGGCGCCGCCTCGGCGCGGCGGGGAGGTCGCCGTGGTGGCGCTGGGCGAGCCCAGCCGGGAGTTCCGCGAGTGGCGGGTCGCGAAGGCCGAGCGCGCGGCTGCGGGGAGGAGGCGGAGGAGGAGGAGGAGGAGGAGGAGGAGGAGGAGGAGGAG